CATAAATTATCCAATTTGACAAGTTAGATTCTCCAATTGACGTTAGGGTTTAATTCAATCTTCATGGGTTATTTTCAATTATGATTCAATTGATTGTTTTTTTATGCATGAATTGAAGGAATTACATGTTTTAAGTTAATTCACATGAACCCATGCATGATCCATGATTTCTAGACTATGATCATATGATGAAGCTTGTGCCTAAGCCTTATGAAAGATGAATTTATGAAGATATGCATGTTTCTTGATGAAATTTATATAAACTAGTATATGTGCACGTGCGTTGCGCGGATAATTTAAAAGGTAATAATTTATAATTAAAAATAACTAATAAAATATATTATGCACTTAATAATAATAATAATAATAATAATAATAATAATACAAATCATTAAGTTATTTATTTGAGAACATTAAATTAATATTATTAAACAGAATTTAAATTATTTTATTAGAATATTATACCTATAGGCTACCAGCTAAGCTTTTAGTTTGCTTTTTTTTAAAAAAATATTACATATAGCTATGTCAGCTAAGCTTTTAGGTTTTTTAAAAATATATTATAATAAGAAATTTATTAGGATACTATTAATTGTATAATTATTTTATCTTTGATCAAACATCAGACTTCAAATATTTTTTCGTATTTGTAATTTATTCTTTTTACGTCATTTAAATTTAAAAAAAATATGTTAATAATTTATTAATTCTAGCATTCCATATATATATATATATATATATATATATATATATATATATATAATGACTTGTTGATACATTTTATATATGTTTTATTCAAAATAAAAAAATTCAAAATATCCTTTACCATATTAAATTTTTGTAAAATATATAACAGAAAATTGATTTAAAGATAAATATAATCTTAATAAATACAACCATTAATTTTCAACACAAGTATTTTATATTTTTATGGTTCTTTAATAAATTGTATATCACTATATTTTTAAAATTAAATTATAATTTATATATTTGATTGTTTTCTCTTTTGCTACTTGATAGTTGAAAAACAGATTGTTTATTTTATTTATTTCTTACGAAAATTAATAAAGGAAATGTATAGCATTTTTCTAATAAAAATATACAATGCCTTTAATTTATTGTTGTTTTTCTTCAAAAAGAATAATCAATAAATGATAAACTTTACAAATTTTTTAAAATAGAGTGTGTAGTCGAAAGTTTTAAAACTCTTTTTTTAAGTGAATAACAATAAATGTGTTGTTAGAAAAACTGATAAAGGGAATTATATAATTGGATACTCAATTATCTTTTTTGAATGATATTTGTTAATTATAGATTTATAATACCTTTTTAGTGAAAATATTTACACTTTTTACAAATTGATTAAAAAAATTGTTCAGAAATAGCAAGGTAGTGGAGGTTTTAAAACTGCCTATTTAAATTGTAATTATCAAACATAATTAATTTAAATTAAGAATAATGAAAAACTGAATTATAATTCTTTTTAAATTCAAAATCCTAAAAGAATAATGATTAAATATAAATAGAAAATAAAGAAAAAAGAAGAGCAAAGAACTACGTTTTAGTATTAAAAAAGAGATGCTTTCAAGGATAAGGATAAGATTAGTTACTTGTTTTTAAAATTTAAATTTCAAATTAATTATTTAGGCAATTTTGATAATATTTTATATAATTAGCATAAACAAAAATAACAATATTAGCTTGATTTTCTTCCTACACAACTCATCACCCACGTTTCCAATTATTTTTGTTTTAGACTTTTATTATATATATAAATATATCAAATAATAGATTGGAGAATTTAATACGTTATATATGACATTGAACTATAATTAAAAAGATGAGTAGATGTAATATTTAATAAAGAGGTGCTTTCAAGGATAAGGATAAGATTTGTTACTTGTTTTTTAAAATTTAAATTTCAAATTAATTATTTAGGTAATTTTGATAATATTTTATATAATTAGTATAAACAAAAATAACAATATTAACCTATTTTCCTCCCTACATAACTCACACCCACGTTTCCAAAATTATTTGTTTTAGACTTTTATTATATATATAAATATATCAAACAATAGATTGGAGCATTTAATACGTTCTATATGACATTGAACAAAAATTAAAAAGATGAGAAGATGTAATATTTAATATTTTTTAAATCCGAAAATTTAAGAATTTTTGTGGTGCTAACACATTTAATTTTATATAAATATATTTTAATTTCTAAATCATAGTATTATTATGTGTACATGCAATATATTTTAAATTCCTAAATTATAGCATCATTATATGTACATGTTGTAGACGGTGAAGTTTTATTGATAAATCCAACTAAATTTGGATTAAATCTTAAATTTATGATATGTTGACCAAGTTAAATTACTGGTTAATAAAGCCGGATTAATATTTAAGTCAAAATTATATGACTTAAATCAAGTCCAAATAACATTTGGGCTAGTCCATTAAATTGACAAGATGAGCCAACTCATGTTCTTCAGGCCCAGGGGTCAAAATTGCTTGGACCAAAATACCCTTAAAGCCCTAGCTCAAGCCTATATAAAGAGGTCTTCATAATACCAGAAGGGATAGACACATACATCCACACAAAAATACATAATTGCTCTTCAGTGGTGATCTGCAAGTCTTCCGCATACAAAGAAGTCTTCGCTCCAAGTATTGAGCCGCAAGTATTCTGCCAAATCAAGAACATCTGTGGAGAGAAGAATCAGGGGATTACATATCTTTTAAAGAGATTTTATAAAGATTGTAACCTTCGCATTAATTCAAATACAAATATTATTGTTTGCTTGCTATTTTTCTTTTCCTGTTTACTGAAATTGAAACTTTAGATGCTTACAAATATAATTGGCACTCCCAGTGGGACAATCTTTACCTCTTATCTCTTCTCTTCAAGACAGCCAAAGTTCAAAATCACTGAGATGGCTTTCAAGAAGATCAGCTCGAAATTTGCATTTGCATTCAAATCTCGATCTATATCTGTATCCGCATCTGCATCCAAATCTGGATCTACATTCGTATCCACATCTGGATCAAAATCTGCATCTGCATCGGCATCAAAATCCGCATCTGCATCTATATTCTGCATCTGCAAAAACTGATGGATCTATGTTATGCATCGATGTCGAAAACATCCTCGATGTTACTGCGGGAAGCATGGGACCTATCACAAGGAACTAAGACAAATTGTTATGACAATAAGCCTCACGAGTGCCGTCTGAATCTGCTATTGTCTTTGGTTTGTCTCCAAAACATGTGAAGTCTCCTGCAAAAGCTGCAAAAGAAGACATCGCCGAAATGGTCGAGAGGGTTCTTGCCCAATTGAGCCCATCTACATACGAGAAGTCCTTCGCTTCGGCCGACAATGATGTCTTAAGCACGGGATCTACCCCACATAACATGTTTGCATCTCATGTTAAAGAAAATCAACGCTACTCTCCGCCACCTACTATGGTAATGCACACAATAGTGACTAACGCTTCATCCGTAGAAAAACAACTTGTGAGCTTGACAAGGGCTATTGAAGGCTTGACCAAGTATGTTCAAGATCAAGATGCTCGAATTGTTAAGCTAACTGATGGGGTGGAGGGCATAATGGATGAAAAATCAAGTCACGCACCTGGAAAACGTCCGCAAGTCCAAGAGACAGTCGATCGCCCCAGAAAGCAAGTTGAATATGCTAAAGAGATCCAAGTTTCTTCGGAAGGAACGATCCCGATCAACCAAATCAGGGATTTCATCATGGGGACCATTAAAGACAAGTACGCGGTTGTGGTCTACACCAAGCAACGTGATGAAGATGAAGAAAGTGTTGACTCTTCATATCATGTCACTATACAAGATGAAAGGCATATTATTTCTCCAATTAAAATTGATGGAGAGTTGGAGAATGTTTCATGGTGTTACCATATATCTTTCAACGATGGAGAACCTTAAGAAGATGAAGATGCTAAAGATGTGCCACCCAAACTTGAAGAAGGAGTAAAGGTGACAGTTGATGTATTGAAAGAAATCAACCTTAGAACTGATGAAGATTCAAAACCCACTTATGTGAATGTTTCACTAGCGAGTGATGAGGAAAAGATCTACGTTGACTTACTCAAAGAGTATAAATATGTATTTGCCTGGAGTTACAAAGAAATGTCTGGATTAGACCCGAAGGTAGTAGTCCAGCATCTAGCTGTGAAAAGCGGTGCACGTCCCATCAAGCAAGTTGAACGGAGTTTTAAACCTGAATTGATTCCCGTGATCAAAACTAAATTTAATAAGCTTATTGAGGTTGGCTTTATCCGTGAAGTTAAGTACCCCACATGGGTTTCAAGTATTGTCCCCGTGAGGAAGAAGAATGGGCAAATTCAAGTTTGCGTTGACTTTAGGGATCTCAATAATGCATGTCCCAAAGATGAATTTCCACTTCCTATCCCTGAGCTTATGATTGATGCCACTACTGGGTATAAGGTGATGTCTTTTATGGATGGTTCATCCGGCTACAATCAAATCCGCATGTCGCCAAAGGATGAAGAGTTGACCGCATTCCGCACACCTAAGGGCATTTATTGCTACAAAGTAATGCACTTTGGTTTGAAGAACGCAAGAGCAACATACCAAAGAGCTATGCAAAGCATCTTTGATAACATTCTTCACAAAAATGTTGAATGTTATGTTGATGATTTAGTAGTGAAATGAAGAAAAAAGTGTGATCACTTACAAGACTTGAGGATGGTGTTTGATCTACTACGAAGGTATCAACTTAGAATGAATCCTTTGAAATGTGCATTTGGAGTTACCTCTAGAAAATTCCTTGGCCTCATTGTACGACATAGAGGAATAGAAATTGATCAAGTAAAAGTAGATGTAATTCTGAAGATGGTAGAGCCAAGAAACATCCATGAATTAAAGAGAGTCTGCAAGGGAAGCTAGCATATCTTAGGAGATTCATCTCGAATCTAGCAGGAAAGTGCCAACCATTCAACCGCCTTATGAAAAAGGGCACTCTTTTCGAATGGGACCAAGCTTGTAGTAATGCCTTTGAGAGCATCAAGTCTTACTTGACAAAACTACCAGTTTTAGCAGCTCCTGTTCTTGGAAAGCCATTGATACTTTACATATTAGCTCAAGAAAGATCAGTGGGAGCACTCTTAGCCCAAGAGAATGGCAAAGGGACAGAAAATTCCCTTTACTACTTAAGTAGGATGATGACACCAAATGAGTTGAAGTACTCGCCAATCGAAAAGCTATGTTTGGCCTTTGTCTTCTCAATTCAGAAGATGAAACACTACTTTCAAGCTCACGTCGTTCGTCTTATTTCTAAATCCAACCCCATCAAATTTGTGATGTCGAAACTTGTCCTCAATGATCGACTAGAAAGATGGTATCTCCAGTTTCAACAATTTGAAATTGTGTATGTTCCTCAAAAGGCTGTGAAAGGGCAAGCATTGGCAGACTTCTTAGCAGACCACCCGATACCTGATGATTGGGACCCCACCAATGAATTACCTGATGAAGATGCAATGGTTGTTGAAGTTCAACCGCCTTGGAAGATGTATTTTGATGGGGCCTCACATCGCAAAGGAGCTGGCGTTGGGGTGATATTTGTCACTTCTCGAGAGGAGATCTTGCTGTATTTCTTCACCTTAATGCAATGTTGCTCCAATAATGTTGCAGGATATCAAGCCTTAATACTTGGTCTTGAAATGGCGGTTGATATGAAGCAATTGCAATTACAAGTTTTTGGAGACTCTGAATTAGTGATCAATCAATTATTGGGAAGCTAAGAAGTCAAAAAGCCAGAATTGTGTCTCTATCATGACTATGCACAAAAATTGATTAGATGGCTTGAAGATGTAACTCTTCAACATGTTCTAAGGAAGAGGAATAAGAAAGATGATGCTTTAGCCGTTTTGGCTTCAACTTTAACTCTGCCTGATCAAGCGCAAATCACTATCTACCAAAAATGGATAGTACCACCGGATGTGGATGAAAAAAGCAAATTTGAACATCTTGTAGCTATCTCACAAGCTAAGATAGTCGATTGGAGACATGATCTGATCGATTACTTGTTTTACAATATACTTCCAGAAGATCCAAAGAGAAAGACCGAAATTCGTCGTCGTGCTCCTAGGTTTCTTTACTACAAAGATACTCTATATTGAATATCATTTAAGGGAGTCCTCTTGCGTTGTTTGGGGGAAGAAGAAGCGATTCAAGCTAAGCAAGAAGCACATTCTGGAGTTTGTGGATCACATCAATCTGGGCCCAAGTTAGACTTTCATATAAAAAGAATGGGGCATTATTGGCCAACAATGGTAAAAGATTGCTTGGATTATGCTCGAAGATGTCAAGCATGCCAATTTCATGCAAACTTTATGCACCAACCTCTTGATGTATTGCATCCGACTGTTGCATTTTGGCCATTTGATGCTTAAGGGCTAGACGTGATTGGACCACTACCTAAATCTTCTGGTGGTCACTTGTACATCTCGACTGCGGCAAATTACTTTTCAAAATGGGCTGAGGTTGTAGCCCTCAAAGAAGTAAAGAAGGAAAATGTTGCAAACTTCATCAGGGTGAACATCATCTATCGTTTTGGCATTCCTAGTTATATACTAACAGATAATGGAAATTCATTCACCAATAAATTGATGGATAAGATCTGCAACCTTTTTGGCTTCAAGCAACGTAATTCATCAATGTATTACACTTCTGCAAATGGACTAGCGGAAGCCTTTAACAAGACCTTGTGCAACTTGTTAAAGAAGGTCGTCTCCAAATCTAAAAGGGATTGGCATGATAGTATGGAAGAAGTTCTTTGGGCATACCGGATGACTCATCGCACGCCGACTCAAGCAACTCTTTATTCTCTTGTTTTTGGAACTGAAGCAGTCTTTCCACTTGAACGACAAATACCGTTATTGAGGCTTGCCATCCAAGAGGGACTTACTGAAGAAGAAAATGTTTGTCTGTGTCTTGAAGAGTTAGAATCTCTCAATGATAAAAGGTTGGAAGCTCAACAAAGTCTTGAGTGCTATCAAGCTCGTCTTTCTCGTGCTTTCAATAAAAAGGTTCGCCTAAGGTCTTTCCAAGTCGGTGATCAAGTCCTTGCGGTAAGAAGACCAATTATCATATCTCATAAATCGAAAAGCAAGTTCACATCAAAATGGGATGGACCATATGCCATTCAAGAAGTCTATTCAAGCGGAGCTTACAAAATTGTGGATGCAGACGGCTTGCGGATTGGTCCCATCAATGAAAGATTCTTGAAGAAGTACTATCCTTGAAGCGGTGCCATACTCCGGCCCGCAAGAGTATAAACTATGTACGGCTCCAAAAAGAATGTCCGCTAGGTTGAAAATCTCGAAAGAGGCGGCCTAGGCAAAAGTTAGGACAAAATAATAATAATAATAATAATAAACCACTCTCTGAACTACGTAATGACTTGATCCTCTTCACTGAGGTACGTAGGCAGCTTAGAGTATTATTACTCTAGGTTCAGTCATAAGAATAAAAAAAAAACGTCGCCATGTGAATATCATGCTAATTCTTTCAAATGAAGATTCAACCATGCATATTATGAGCCAAATTTGAACACAAATCTGTACTAATCTGTAAATCCCATGGATGTGATTTTTTATGTAGATTGAATATACCAAAGTTATCTTTCCAACAAAAAAAAGAAGCTCATTATTCCGGCGCTCCTACTCCACGTTATGAATTTTCTTCCACATGTGCGCAAAGCTGAAGAAAATTGAAAATTCAAGCACCCTGATTTTGAGCTGACTTTGAAGACAAATCTGTATTAATCCGTAAATCCTATAGACGTGATTTTATATGGATTGAATATCTCGAAGTCGTCTTTCCAACAAAAAAAAGAAGCTCATTATTCCGGCGCTCCTACTCCACGTTATGAATTTTCTTCCACATGTGCGCAAAGCTGAAGAAAGCTGAAAATTCAAGCACCCCGATTTTGAGCTGACTTTGAAGAAAAATCTATATTAATCTGTAAATCCTATAGGTGTGATTTTTATATGGATTGAAGATCTCAAAGTCGTCTTTCCAACAAGAAAAGAAGCTCATTATTCCGGCACTTCTACTCCATGTTATGAATTTTCTTCCTCATGTACGCGCAAAGCTGAAGAAAGCTGAAAATTCTAGCACGCGGATTTCGAGCTGACTTTGGAGACAAATCTGTATTAATCCATAAATCCTATGGACGTGATTTTTATATAGATTGAGGATCTCAAAGTTATCTTTCCAACAAAAATCATTATTCCGGTGCTCCTACTCCACGTTATGAATTTTCTTCCTCATGTGCACAAACCTGAAGAAAGCTGAAAAGTTAACGTTTTGTTGCTATCCTCATATAAATGCTAGCTTATGGAGTCTTTTTTTAATAAGGAAAGGGAGCTTGTGGAAAGAAACAATCAAAATTCAAGAGGAGAAAATTCTTATTGAAATATAGGGGCGACTTTTCTCAACTACCCCTTCTAGTTTGGCTAGTCTCTCAACTTCATCGTTAGACATCACATTATATGCCTCAATGGTAGAAATCTCGCCCTCCGTAATGGTGACATTCTCTTGACTTTTGGACAGCTTCTCTTGATATTTGTTAATGAGCGCAGTGACTTTCTTTTTCTTGAAAGTCAAGGCTTTTAAGTCTTTCAGCACTTCTGCTAGAGTTGCTTGAAGTTTATCCATGGATCCATCCAATTTTTCATGTGCCAGCTTTGCACCATCGAGACAATGTTGTGCATCAGAGAGGGCTGGGCCTTTTCGTGTGATTCTGTAGTCATCTTTGATGATCTTAAAGTATCATACTCTGCATACGACTTGAAGAAATTCTCGACATGATCCTCTAAAGAAGAAACATCAATAATGTTTACCTTTCTAATCTACTCAAGAGTTGAAGCAATACTTGACTCCAATTCTGTAAAGCCATCTGAAGAACCTAAGGAAAATTGTGTAATCCATCCACACAATGTGCCCCACATTTCAGAAACAAAGGTTGATTTGGCGGGTAAATGGTTTCTTGTGGCTCAAAAGTAGGAGCACCAGGTCGCAATGGCCTACTTGGTGACTTACTTGGTGGAACTACTTCCAATGAAGGCATCATGTCATTAGAAGGTGACTTTCTTGGTGGAACTACTTCCAATGAAGGCAGATCATCATTAATGGAAGAATGAAAGTCTTTTGCAGCCGCATCAAGATCATTAAGATCTATTGTGAAATCTACAACCGCGCCATTGTTAAGGTCGCCACCACATAGTTCTTGAAGGTCCAACTAAAAAAAAAAAAGAAAAAAAAAGTAAGAACAAAAAGATGGTCAGATTCTAAACTTTGAAAATAAAAGAGGAGGGGGCTTACTTGTTTTGCCAATTCAAACAACGAGGTCGAGTTCGAATCCTTATCAACAAAGTCGTTATCATCAATGACAATTGTATCTAAAATATCAGTACCACAACAAACATCTTCTAGCTCTTGTGCCTTTCTTTTTGGATGATTCCAATGACGATCTGTTGGACTAGAAGATGCATTGGGTCGTCCAAAACCATCCGGTAAAGCATACATATGAGAAATTTCATCACAAGGCGTCTCAAGGTTTGATGTTTGGTCATTACCATTGTCTGATGATACATGAAGTTCATTTCTTCCAGAAGAACCATGGCCAACTTTGGGAGTAGGTGAAGTCGCCTTTGAGACTAATGTGAGGCGCCTCAATTTTGATTTCGTAGGCACATCCCTATCTTTCGAGATTTTAGACTTGGATGAGGTTTTAGCAACTTGCAGAGTATCATTTGACTTCACTTGAGATTTGGAAGAAGGATGTGACTTTTCCTTTGATTCATTAGAAGCCCTTTTACATGAAATGGATGTAGAGTCTTGCTTCGTCTTCTTCAAAATGATGCGGAGGTTTCCTTGGGAAGTATTCAGCCTTTGGAGTGGCCACCAGTCTACATACCCATGGGTCATTAAAGGAGCACTCTCTAATGGGCACGTTGGAATCATGACTTTAGAAAAAGTATTAAGTCGAAAAGAGGAATTCCAAAGTTGCACCAATGTTAATAGTGTACCATCTTAAGGACGCTCCATAAGATCTCTGGGAACATCTTGACAAAAACCGAATTGTCGACTAAATCTAATAGGGCTGTAGGACTCCAAGATGAAATTTGAATCATGCCTAAGGGTTACGTAGCCTGAACGAAGGCTTATGATATATTTGTTCCACGAATTTGAAAGCTTGCCATTATCAATAAGGTGCAAATCCCTCCCTTGCAGCATTGCTAAATGATGGAGGCAACGGGCATCATCCTGTTGAAATTACTTTTGGGCGTCAGTAAAATCAAAACACTTGGCCATCTTCTCGCCAGAAATTTTGCAAAGAGGTATCAATCGATGTGAACGATTGGCACGATGATGAGTCCCAAAGTATTCCCCAAGGCAACCATATACATAGTGTATGGGGAAAATTATATTTGCCACACTCAAGTTTGAAGAAGTAGAGATTTCTTTCAGGCTGCGATATATGCTTGCAAGAACTGGGACCGCTAAGGATAATTTCTTTCCATGAGCCATCAAGCTCGCAAATTTAAAAACACTAGCGCGCACATGGTTGACTTTCTTATTCGAAAGCACAAATTTGCAAAGCCAACAAACAAAGAAGACTGCCAAGTTAGTCTCATCTCTAAGTGATTCTTCCACATCTAACTCAACAAAGGGGGTATTCTCCTCGTTAGTCCGCGGTAGGAAGTTCGAATCAATATGTCCAGAAGGAATGTGGTTTAATCTTGGCTTTGTGGCTCGTACCTTTGACACCTTTTGCGGAGGCTCAGCACATCTATTAGGTCCTCTAAACCAAAACTCCACCTAATCATGGACAGACACCTCCTGGAGATCATCTTTCGCTAATCTGTAGAAGGCCGAAAACAAATATCGACAGCTTTGGGGAAGAAGCAATTCTTTTTTAATATCCGTTCGTGTCAATTCTTTCGCCGAGGGAACGACTTCATCATAAAAGTGCCCTTGTACGAGGAGACCTCCAATGGCTTGTAAGTCCCAAAGTGATATGGACATCTCTCCAATTAAAGTAGAAAGTGTATTGGTAGATGGGCGCCAAAGTTCACAAAAAGCATGGAGTACATTGTCGTCATAGTCATACGTGAACAAAGAAGTATATACAGCGTCATAGACCTTGATGAGCTCCAAAATCTCCTTGTGGTGGGGCAGCACGTCCCCTACCCATTCCAAGTAGCCAAGTGTGTAGAAAACATTGCCAAAGTTAGAAGAAGGAACACGCCAATTGTTGAAACTTCCATCAGAATGAGAAGATTTGGAAGATGCTGCGTCATGATGAATCGCTAATTTCAGTAAAGGAACTTTCATGCTAGTAGCCTTGCTCGAGAAGTTTCTCATAACGTCTTTGGTATCCATTTTTTACCATTCTTTAAGGAGAAGAGATTCATCATATGTCCCACTAACAAGGGAGAAGACGCCGATAGCAGGAGGTTGAACCTCCAAAAGTAGAACTTTGGCATTTGGATTTTGTTGGTCGTCGCTCACTATTTCAAGAAGAGGATGCGGCGAATCTCGGTCGCGGAAGTGCATCATGTTGCGGGATCGAAGTCATATTTCTCTATCAAATATCTGATAAAAAAAAATTAAACAAAAGAATAAGTTCAGATGCGTATGAACATGTCCAAAGTAAAGGTGGTAACCTCAATTTTTTTCTGTGGTTGGTGAAAGGCTGATTTCAAATAGGAAACTGAATCAACACATATGCAATCTAATTGTGGTTTTTGAATATGATGTAGCCCTATGAATTTACTTTCCAACACCGTAAACTGCTTGTGATTTCGTTATTCCTACGTCAAGATATTAATTTTTCCGCGAAGTTGCACAAAGCTGATGCGTTCAGTTTATCAGAATTTTAGGCTGAGTTCAAAAAATCACCTGAGCAAATTCGAGAATTGTCTGACCGTGATTTTCGGATATGTTGTAGCTCTATGAGTCTATTTTCTGGAAAATCAAACGGATCACAATTTCAATATCACTACAATGGGATATGATTTTTCTACCAAAGTCGTGCTGAGCTGAAAACAAGGGTGACGAAAATCAGAGTTGAAAAAGAATTTACTTGAGAGAGAAGGTCTCAATTGAACTCGATGATGCGGCAATGCGATATACAATCACCGGGTGAATGTGGTATATATATATAGATTTCAGAATATGAAGACATCAATTTGATTCCTACAAATTATGGAAAATTATGATGATGGAAAGTTTA